GGGGGGGGGGGAGGCTGCCGCCGAAGTCTGCAATGATGCCATGCGGCATTGTCCTGAAACTCAAAACACCACCCCTGGAGTTGTACAGATGGCGCAAAAGTCCTTTTGACCAAAAGTATAGAGATTGAGAACAAAATAAGTATTTAGACTTAGCCTGGGAGGAAATCAAACATGAATCACGGGTAAGACAGTAGAAGTTTTTCACTGTAATTCCCTTAATAGTGCCCTATAAAGGCATCTTTGATGTTTTAATATTCCTTACTGTCATTCACCTAAAGCTATTTTAGCTTAAAGCCCATTTTTATAGGAAAGCATGCATAAGTAGAAAAGTGGGTTGCAGGCACGCCTAACGTTTTGACCCTTTTTTACTCAAACATTGTTAGCAGAGTGGTCTATGTGTCTACAGAGTGGGCTAGTCTTGGCACTTCCACAATTTAACTTCCCAAGTTCTTTGCTTGCAATTATTTTGAGCTGTTGCCAGGTAAACCGTGGTGCCACTGTGGTTTTCTTTGTGGTTCTTGGGCACAGGCCCACAGAAGCAAAACAGAACTAAAAACAGATCGCTGAGTATGCCCATCCATGTTTCCCAGCCCCTCTGAACACCCTTCCCACGTACAGAGAATTTCCCCAAGGTGCGAGTCAGAGAACTCGCTTCCCCACCCTCCCTTGGTGCTGGAATGCAGGCATGTGAGCTAGGCTCTGACAATCAGATGCAAAATATAAATGACTTTAATTCCAAGGAGAGAAAAGGGGGGAAGCAGAACCATTTTCTGGCCAGGGTGGCTGTAGAAGCAGCCAACGTTCAGAGGCAGCGGGAGCGGGGTTTGGGCAGTGGAGGTGCCGTCTGAGACGCCTGTGTGCCGTGGCAGGAGCAGAGGCACCTTCCCCGGAGCAGTAGCTGCTGTTCCTGGGCTTGAAGCCTCTGAGCATAATCCTCTGGTCCTGCCAGTGCTTCCAGGAGCTACTCAATGTCCTGTAATAAATCTCTTCCTGCTTAAATGGGCCAGGGGTGTTCTATTATTTGTGCTGAGAGCCTAGAATGAATCATGTGCTGTATCAGTCAGCCTTCTCCAGAGAAACAGAACCAATAGGATATGTGTGTGTGTGTGTGTGTGTGTGTGTGTGTGTGTGTGTGTGTTTGCATATATGTGTGTGTAAGGAGGAGGAGGGCTGTATTTCTAGGGTTGGGGCACATGATTGTCAGGGTTGGCAAGCCTGGAATCCGTAGGGCAGGCGGCAGGCTGAAAACTCAGGTAAGTTGATGCTCTAATCTTGAAGCAGAATATCTTTTCTCAGAAGCCTTCAGTTTTTGTTTTTAAGGGTTTTAGCTGATTAGATAAGGCCAACCATGTTATAAACGATTATCTCCTTTAAAGTCAACTGATTATAGATGTGAACCATGTCTGCAAAACACATTCCCAGCCACAGCTAGATTGGGTTTTGATTAAATAACTGTAGCCCAGCCAAGATGAAGCAATGCTACCCAGCACAGCCGCCAAATTGAAATTCCGGGAATGGGCATTCGTACGATAAGCGTTAAGATCTGTCACCCTGAAGAAGCCTCCTTGGTGCATTTGACCTAAGTTTCCATTTGCAAAAACTTCATACACAGTTGTCCATCCAAAACGAAGTCCATTCAACGTAGGCAGCTGCATTCCGGAAAAGACTGTCGCTGAAATCCAGCCCATGCTCCCGTCCCTCAGCCCTTGGCCCGGCCCCCGCTGCCATCATCTCTCAGCCGGACCACAGCCACAGCCTCCTCACCATGCTGCTGGCCTCTGGTTCCTCCTGCTCTGTACTGTCGTCCAGCTTTCTAAAACACTAGTCTCATTGTAGCTCCGCTGATGAAAATTCCTTCCAGAGCCACCATAGTGCTCTGTCATCTCAGGCCAGCGGCCATTAAGGTTTGGTTATAAGCAACAGACCCTATCTCTGGCCGGTCTAAGTGAAAGAGGGACTCCAGGAGTATCCCTGAGGATGGAAGGAGAAGCTTAAGTCTTAGAGTCAGGAATCCAGGCTTCCCTGGTGATCTTGGGAGCAGGAACCAATGGACAGGCTTTTCAGAGCCCAGCTGTAGGGATGAGTCAGTCTGTCATCTCAGTGCCCCTGCAACTCCACTGAGGACCAGTTTATCAGGAGAGTGCGTCCAGTTGGCCAGGACTGACTCACAGGTCCACCCTGTGGCCAGGAGGGGGTCACTGATGGAACCACCAAGACTGAAATTAACAAGAGAGGTGGGTTCTCAGGCAAAGTAGGGGTATTCTCAGACGAGGGGAAATAGATACGGGCAAGTAAGATGAGATACAAGCACTTCATGCCCACTTTCCAGCACCCAAGGGACCCTTCCAGATCAGAGCAACTGGGGGAGCAGGGAAAGACTGCATTCTCTGCAGTCAACAGGCCAATGGGGGGTGGAGGCAGCTCCAGCCAAGTGAAGAAAAGCAAGGGCTCTCTGGACCATAGGACAGGCAGCCCAGCCCCAGGGACCCTCAGTGTGGACCCCACGTCCCTCGCTGTTTCTGGGCCATTGTTGTCCCCCAGGCTCTCTACAGCCTGAAGTACAGAGGACGAAGGACCTTTCTCCACCTCTTACCTTCCTCTCCTGACCTCACCTCTCTTTGCTGGATCTGGGGGTGGGAGGGTCTATCTCTGTGCTCGGGTCAAGCAGTGGAGGGCAGAGCAGAGTGAGACAGGAGATCACCCTTACTGTTTTCTTACTTAGCGTCTGCTCTCCTCCCACTGGAATGTGAGCTCCACACTGGCAGAACTCTTGTCTGTCATTTTTTAAAAATGTTGTTAATAGAGAGAGGAAGGGAGAGGGATAGAGAGATAGAAACATTCATAAAAGAGAGACATCAGTCAACTGCCTCCTGCAGGCCCCCCACCCGAGACTGAGCTTGCAACCCGGGCATGTGCCCTGACTGGGAACTGAACCGGAGACCTCTTGGTTCATGGGTCGATGCTCAGCCACTGAGCCACGCCAGCCAGGCGCTTTGTCTGCCTTCATCGCTCTAGTAGGTCCTAGCCTGTGACAATAACTGGCATGTAATAAGCAGTTAAGAAAATAAATATTTGGCCCGGCCGGGCGTGGCTCAGCGGTTGAGCGTCGACCTAGGATCCAGGCCACTGGGGTTCAATTCTCGGTCAGGGCACATGCCCGGGTTGTGGGCTGCAACCAAACAATGACTCTCATCGTTGATGTTTCTTTCCATCTCTCTCTCTCCATCTCCTTTCCTCTCTCTGAAATCAATAAAGATATATTAAAAATATTTTTTAAAAAAAGAAAATAAATATTTGTATTAAACAAATAGCACGCAAGTAATTTGGAGGCTACACCCCACCTTCTGCCTTTGACCCTGAGCCAGACAGATGAGATCAAGCCTGGAACTGAGTCAAACCAGGGAGCAAGAGGAAACTGGACAGGGGGGTGGGAGGGATGGAGCACAGCTCTAGGCTCAGCCAGACCTGAGCCCCAACCTGGCTCTGGCACCTGCGGGGGCATGTCACATGACTATCCTGAGTCTGTTTCCTCCATTTTGAAATGGGGATTTTTAGACCACCTCCTTCGTGAGAATTAAATGTGTAAAATTGGCACACAGTAAGTGCTCTCCTCCCCAGATGCCCTTCATCTCTGTTGTACACTCTGAAGGGGAGGAAGCTGTTTTCATCAGACGGTGGGAGCTGAATGCTACATCTCCTGGGGCTGGGGAGTCGTGTGTTTTAGGAGAGCAGCCTGGAGGAGGTGATGCCTCACCCGTGGGGTAAATGAAGCATCAGTGGTGGAAGATGTAGACAGTGACAAGCCCCAGGGACCCCAGTGGAAAGTCCCATGCTGCAACCTTGAGCACATCTGGCTTGTGGCTGGAAGAAAGGTCATTCCAGTGTTGCCTCTGCTTCTGGGATGGGATCAAAAGAGATACATAGCAGGCAATTTGGAAAAAGAATTTTATTCACTTCGTGAGAAACAGCTGCTTTGAGTCAAGACCTGGATGGAGATAGAGCTCTGGTGGCTTCCGACCAGTGGCCTGGAAAAAGCCCACTCATTCTCTCTATATCCTTGGACCAGGGTCTGAGTTTGGGTCCCAGAAAGAACACCCACCTCCTTTCCCCCTCAGTGCAGGCACAGGTTCAGGCGGAGCATTCTTGTTAGACATCAGATTCTCCTGCTCTGCGGATAGCTCCCTGAACAGGAAAATGAATCACATCAGCATCCTAGACATTCAGACCAGGACTGATCGGGCATACCAGCCAGTATTTTGGATCAGCAACCAGGAACACAGTGTTCTGGCTCACCAATCAGAAGTCTAGAATGCAAAATAAGAGCCCTCTAACTTTCTATGTGATTTCATCAGGAGCTCCACATTCTAGAATGCCTATATTCCAAATCAGCCAGAAATCTGACATTCTAGGCGGTCACCCAGGAACCCAGTTTTCTGGCACCCCCGTGAAAACCTGATCTAACATTCTGGGTAGTTAACCAGGGATTCAGTATTCTAGAATGACAAGACCACAACACTCCACATAGTCAGTGAAAAACACGAAGTTCTAAATTTCAGCCCTCATACTCTCGATGCCAAACTAGAAACCCAGCGTTTAAGACCATTAACCTTGGCCTCAGCACTCTGGAAAGACAAGCAGAAAGCTCCACCCTCCAGAATGCTGCTGCCCTCAGAGCTCTGTGGACGGCCGCTCCACACCAGCCCCGTCATTGTGGTGGGGGTCGGGTACATGGAAGGAAACGTAGGGACAAGTCTTGGTGTTGAGACAAACCAACTTCTTCAGTGTGGCTGTCTTGACGATGTTGAAGCCCATCTCACCACCAAACGTGCTCGCCTTCCAGTACTCTGGAGAACAGATGGCATTCCCTAAGAGGCCCTTGAGGGAAAAGGGAGCCCCAATTTCTATCATACTCTCCCCAAAGATGGAGCTTGGATGGCACTTCTCAAGAAGCAGTCCCGGGTAGAACTCCAAGGCATCAATGTCTCCATATAGCTCCTCCAACTCAGCCGCCATCTCCTTCTCTCCTATGAGGGGGAGAAGTTAGAGTCAGAATCATGATGCCATCCATTGAGGTTAATCTGGGGAGGGAACTTTCTAGGGAAAAAGTCACCTTTTTCTGGGGAAAATAAAGGACTTCTGAAAAACATTTTGAGCAACTGAACATATATGCCCTAAAACCTGGCCTGATGATTGACCCTTCTCCAGGGCTTCCTCTAGGGAAGGAATTTGCTACTGAAGGAGTCAAGGGCCTGGATCTGCCACCAAACAGCACGTGACCTTGAGCAACTCATCTCACTTCTCTGTGCCCTATTACCTGATCATGACAACAGGGAAAGCTATCCAGCTTGTTTCCTTCACAGGCAGATTTTAAGGCCTTATCCTGGTCTAAGAGCCTGCATCCTACTGAATTCAGAGATGTAATGTAGCTTGTCGAAGCTCACACAGAGATTGAGCGATAGGGCTATCAGGAGACAGACATTGAACTTCCCTACCTATTACCTCAAATCCACCCTCCATAAGGCACTAGTATATAGCCATGGGTCATGTCACACCCCCATCAAAACCCTTCAGTGGCTCCCCATTGTGACAAGGGTTCCCAAACTTTGCTGTCCAACAGCTGGGGATCAGCAACAACACACACAGGGAAAAGAGCCTGCATTCGACTGAATTCAGAGATGTAATGTACACACACACACACACACACACACAGAGTCTTGGGTACCACCCCGTCCTACTGAATCAGAGTATGTGGGAGAGACATCTAGGATTTGGTATTTTTAATCAGTGTTCTAAGTGAATTCTTAGGTAGCTGGCCCATAAATGTGTATTTAAGATCCCCTAGACAGAATGAAACCCAAAATCTTTAGCATAAAATCCAAGATTCTATACAATTTGGCCCCAACCTCCCATCACTACTCTTGCCCCACCCCCACATAAGCTCCTTGCTCTAGTCAGATCTAAGACTGTTATCCATAGTAGACTCATTCCTTATGACCTCTGTGCTTTTGTACTCTCTGTTCCTTTACCTAGAATGCTCTTCCCTATATTCTTTACCAAGAAAATTCCTACTTATCCTTCAAATCCAGCTCAGAAGCCACCTTCTCTCCCCAAGTGGGGTTATTTGCCACCCCCCCCCACCCCCCATGTAATCCCAGTCACAGTGCTGTGCTGGCCACGTGTATTGGTGCATTCTGTTTCCCTCACTTCAGTACAAGTTCCTTGAGGGCAGAGACCGTGTCCAGGAAATAGCTGCTCACCTGTGAACTCCTGGAAAGAGGTGTAGGGCTTCATGCCAAACCTCTTGCGGTACTCATTGAAGGGCTGCAGCCGCAGCTCTCGAGATTCCTTGATGACTTCTGTGGCCACGTGCAGGATGTGGTGGTCTATGTTCCTACCCCCACCAATCTGCCAAGAGATAAACACAGCCATGGTCTGAGAGCCTGGCCACATTGTCCTGGAAAAGAACTTCAGGGTAGGAGTCCTTCCTGAGCTGGGACAGAGAGCATGGTTCAGTCTAGCCCTCACTACACCGGGCACCTGACGCTAGGTCTGCCACTGCCACGCTTCTTCAGGGACCCCCTGGGAGTCTCAGCTTCCTCATCTGTAAAATGTGGAGTGGACCAGGAGGACCACTGTAGTGACTAACCAGCCGCAGTGTTCCCAAACACTTTGAATTTGGGTGGGAACCCCCAACATCCTATTAAGGAAGGTTCTGTTTGGATAGAACGAGTATAACTAGATGGGAAAGAGGAAAAGCATTGTTTGGCTGAAATCATACAGGCTGGAGCAAAGCTAGTAGTGGCCAGTGTGGCTCTCAGCTCGACCATTTACAAGCTATGTGGTTGACTTGTGGGCCCCAAAAAGATATGTTGAAGTCCTAACCCCCAGAACCTATTAATATGACCTTATTTGGAACTAGATATAATTAGAGGTCATACTCTAATAAGGTGGTTCCTAATCCAATGACTGATGCCCTGATAAAAAGAAAACCAGAGACACAAGGAGAACACTGGGTTGGAGTGATGCTTCTACAAACCAAAGAACACCAAGGGTTGCCGGCAACCGCCAGGAGCTGAGATAAAGGCATGGAACCGGGTCTTCCCTGGAGCCTTCAGAGAGAACATGGCTCTGCCAACACCTACATTTTGGACTTCTAACCTCCAGAACTATGAAAGAATAAATTTCTGCTATTTAAAGCCACCTAGTTTGTGGTCCTTTTGCAGCTGCAGGAAACTAATACAGGAACCTTCAGGCAAATTACTGAAGCTAACTCTCAGTTTCCTCCTATGCAAAAATGGGGAAGGTAAGAGCATCCACCTGATATGGTTGTGAAGTAAGAGAGATAAAGCATGCAAAGCACTTATCACAGTGTCGGTCACATGGTGACCCCAGTATGGTAGCCATGTGCTGTGATTATCAGGGGAAGGCCTGTTTTATCAGTTGTCACACTCTGTTTGATATCCTGGGAGTCAACACACTTCCGTTGCCCTTCTGCCTTGTGCCAGAAAACAACAGAGCTTTTCACATGCATTGTCACGGTCATGCCTTGAAAGTTCTTTGGAAACCAGGCAGCCCCACACAGAAACTATTGTCTCTGTTCATGTCTGTGTCCCCACAGAAAAGAGTGGCCATAAAACAGCCAGCAGCTGCCCACTGGTGGCAGCATATGCTAATTTCAGCCAAATTACCAGGAGGAAACCTAAATCCATGTGGTGCCACAGCTTCATGATAGGGCTTAGGGGCAAAGATTACAGAGAAACGGGGGATGAAGGGAGCTGAGATGAAGGACATGGGAGCTTCCAAACATGGGCACAGGGAGACTGAGGAGGGAGTTGGTTAGGAATTCCAGGGGAAAAGGCTGTATTAGTTTGCCTGGTGTACCATAACAAAGTACCACCAACTGGGCAGCTTAAACAACAGAAATTTATTCCCTCACAATTCTGGAGGCCAGAAGTCCAAGGTCAAGGTGTTGGCAGGGTTGGTTTCATTCTGAGGCTCATGATGGCCGTCTTCTCCCTATGGCTCCCTCTGTACTTGTCTATATCCTGATCTCCTCTTCTCATAAGAACACCAATCAGACCGGGGCCTGCCCAATGACCCCATTTAACCTTAATCACCTCTTTAAAGACCCTATGTCCAAATACAGTTACACTCTAAGAACCTGGGGGTTAGGACTTTCAACATATGCATTGGTGGGGAGGACATTCAGCCTATAACAAAAGCCTCTGATGTAATAAAGACCTAGTATGTTCAGGCATCTATCTTCACATATATTGCCATACCCTGACTGCCTTCCTGGTCCTCAGGTTACCATGCCCTCTGCCCTGGGGGCCTTTGCCATGCTGCCCCCTCCATCCGGAACGCAGTCATCCCTGCCATTACACACTCCCTTTCCCTGGGCGATCCCTGTACATCCTGCAGATCTCTGCTCAAACATCACTTCCTCATCCACTGTCCCCAACCCTGGCGCAGAAGCCCCTTTCCAAGTTCCCAGAGCCCTGTAGGCTTTGAGGATTTGGGGGCCTGTGGTCCCTAACATGCTCTGTTTTGGAGAAGCATTTGCCACAGGACCTACCATGCAAGAAGTGCTCAAATGATGTTAGCTATCATATGACTGTTCTGCCTTTCTAAGGTGTAAGCCCCAAAAGGACTCAAGAAACCATACCGATCTTGGTCACTATATCCCCAGCAGCTGGAGCAATGCCTGGCATCGCCAAATGGACAGAAGGACAAGAGAATGAATGAAGGCATGCTCAAAGCCACCCTGCAGGGGTGCCACTGTCCCCATTCTTCAGAAAAGAAAACTGGGATTTGGATCCAGGTCTGCAGGATCCCCGTGTCCACCTGCCCTCACCAAGGCTCCCCCAGGCTTACCCGGCCGGCGTTCTGGCGAGAGAAGGCATCCACCAGGGCCTCGACTCCATTGTCCACCAGCATGGAGGTGTTGAACAGGAACTGCTCATAGCTGTAGTCCTGGGAACCCACCTTGAAGGAGTCGGGCATGAGCGGGTGCCAGTGGTAGAGCACGTTGAACTCCATGGCAATGCGGTTCTGGTACTGGAACTGGGAGCCGAACAGCAGCTCTGGGTTGAACTTGAGCTGCAGGAAGTAGCCGCTCAGCTGCTGCACATACTCCTCGATCACGATCTTGATGGTCTCCCCTGGGAGCAGGGTCAGCAGAGCACAAGATGTAGCCCCCCACTCGGGAAGAAGGCCGTTTCATGAAAGGGGCTTGCTTTGTACTTCTTTATTACTGTTAACTGTTGTTTAATTTTATGTAACTACATTCACTTGTCTTTTTGGTAAGGGGTGTGAAAATGGACCTTTCTGTCTCTAGTTGGCCAGATAAGAACCTGCCAGCAGCTCCTACATTCCAAAGGGAGGTTGGGGGCCCAGCTAACCAGGACATGCAAAGAAAGTGTCTAACTGGTTCTGCGACCCTTGGGTGGCCACCCTCCTACAGCCCATTGAAAGAAGCTAGAGAGGCCACAAAAGATGGGAAAGTGGAGGTTAACTTAGTGAGGACTCTGGGAGTGCTTGTAAGGAGAGTGGGGGAATTTGGAAGAGACCCCCCTGAAAGCAGCTGCAGCAGCAAGAGAGGGACACTGTGGACAGAAGGTGAATCTAGTCCCAAATATATTTCTTACAAATCAGAATTCTTAGGCATAGATTTTTTTCTGCTCCCTCAGTAACCAGCTACAAAGCAGAGAGCCAGGGAAGAAACAAATTAAACATCTCATAACAAAGTGAAAACTGGTCACCTGGATAGTAAAAGAGACAGATATTTTGGCCAGTCAGCCATTAGACAAATAGGCTTTTAGCACATTGATCTGGACCCACCAGATTTGCAGTCAGCTGACCTGGGTCCAAATCCTGGTCTCACCATTTCTAGCCACCTATGATTGGGCCCAGTTACCTAACCTCTCTGAACTTGACTTTCCCTATCTATGAAATGTGTATTATAATGATACCGGTATAATAATATTCATAGCATTGTTGGGAGAAGTAGAGAAAAGAGCATCTAAGCGGCTTGGCACAGGGCCTGGCATCATAGGGAATCTGTGCATGCAGGTGAGAAGCAGGAGCACCAAGCGCAGGTGTGAGGGGCAAATGCCCACCACATACTCGCACATTCGCAGAAGATCAGACCAAGGCCTGCAACCCCTCCCCACTCGGGAACGAGCTCCCCTGGTGCAGTGGTGGAAATAGCATAAACCTTGGTGGCAGCCAGACCTGGTTCGTCTTCCTCTGCTGAGTGATCTTGGAGAATTTACTTGGCCTCTCTGAATCTTAATTTTCACAAGAGTAATCATATCTGGTCCATAAGGTTGTTGGGGAGGGTTAAATGAAGCACTGGATATACGGCTTCATCAACTTTGGTCACAGCTTTATCACCAGTCAATATGCTGGGCAGCCTCCAGCCACAGACTTGCCCTCTGTGGTCAAGGTCTCTGCAACACTGGGACTTTAGAAGCAGCCCCTTCTTTGGCTGCACGTATTCCTCTTGCCTGGCTCTTCCAGGCTCCAGTGAACCAGGCACTGTAATTGAGACCAGCCACCCCCAGGGGTGCCCAGAGATGGGGGACAGGGCTTACTGGTGACTCAGAGTGAACACGGGCTGAATGGGATGTTAGAGGCCAAGCTCCCAGGCAGGAAGCCATCTGACATTTTAGGCTGCAGACTCGCCCCCGTAAGAGACACAAAAATATCCTGTCCCTGAGTCATCTAGAAGCTACCAACCTCCAGGAAGGCAGACACATACGGGGCAGGAAACATGAGGATTCCTGAAGTCCCGGGAAGCTGGGGTCTGACCTGCACAGGCTGGGGATCTCACTGTGTGCATGTGGGTGCAGTACATGGGGAAACTGAGACTTGGGATGGCTACTGAAATTGACTGAGAGTCACCCAGCTAATATCAACCGTCACAGCCATTTGCTGAAGGCTACTATGTGTTGAGGGCTTTCCCATTCATCATCTCAGCAAGTCCTTACAAACATCATTATCCCCAGTGTCCAGCTTTGGAAACTGAGGCTCACATAGGGGAATGGACCTGCCCCAGGTGTCAGAGCTCATAAGCAGAAGAGCTAGGCTTCTAATCCCAGCTCTCTGTCCCCAAGCCCTCCACCCCCTGCTTGTCAGGACAGAGAGCACAGCCTTCCCAGACGGCTGCTTCGGAGTCCTCACCTATAAGGATGAGGCGGGCTGTCTGGAAGAGCTGCTCATCTTCCCAGGTGGGGTGCTCAGCCTTCAGCAGGTCACACACGCGGTTGTGTTCACGCAGCCAGAGCGTGGCGTAAAGCATGAGCCCGGGAAGCAGTCCAAACACCTCCTGGCCCATGGCCATCTGGCTCCGGGGCGGAATGCCCCGTGGGTAGTGCATCAGCACAGGCGCCTCTTCCACCGACGGTGGGTACATCTCTCCGTCCAGCATCTGCAGGATGGGGCCACCTGGCAGCCTGGGGACGGGCAGGGCGCCTGCACCTACCACAGCTGACTCCCTCCCTCCCACTCCTACAGCTGCCGTCCTCCCTAACCAACACTTGTCAGTTCTCCCTCCTAGATCGCTCTTAAGATGGGGCCCATTTCTCCCTACCCCCACCCCCTCCGTCGGCATCTGAGTCACCCCATCTTCTACCCTGACTCCTCTCGAACTGGCTCCTTACTCTTCCTCCTGCCCCCGGGCAGTCCATTCTCAGCAGTCCTTTAAAAACCCACATCTGGTAGCACACCCTGGCTTAAACCCCTTCCAAGTCCTCTCTCTGCTCTGGGCAAAAATCAGAATCCTTAACACGGCCCCACAGACGCCTCCACCCTCACCCGCGGTCATTCCGGTGTCCGAGCGCCCTCCTTGGGCCTCTCCCTGACGGTCACTCGGGCTGCCCCCTCCCCAGGCCTGGGCACACGCGCCCTCGCCGCCCGGGAGCGCCCTTTCCCCTTAGCCCCCCGGATGCACCCTCAAAGGTCCTGCCACTCTCCGTGCATTCCTAAGCCCTGGGGAAGACTTCCCCATCCTGTGAACACTCTCGTGACTTCTCCCTGGGGGCAGTTATCACAGGCGTAATCGATTATATGGCAGTTTCCTCATTCATTCAATAAATATACACCGAGGGCCTACTATGCGCCACGTACTGTCCTTAGTCCTGAAGATTCAGCGGTAAAATTTCTATTTTGGTTCTCGTTTGTTTGGATTTTCACGGTTCAATGTGGTAACCTCTCCACGCGTAGTTTGTTGAGCACTAGAAATGTGGCTGGTGTGAGTGAAGAGCTCAGTTTATTTTTCTCAATTTAGGTTTAAGTTTTGAAGCTGATACTTCAGCTATTGGAAATTCTTTAAGTGTACTTAGAACAACGGGGGCACGTGAATCTTCTTTTTCAACTGTGAATTTTATGAAATCTAAATCCAGATCCTATATCCCAATGAAAATTTGGCAGCCAAATTGAGATGTGCTGTAAGTGTAAAATACAGATCAGATTTCGAAGATTTAGCATAAAAAAAAAGAATGTGAGATATTTTGTTTATTTTGTTATTGATTACATGCTAAAATGATAATTCCTGGATATATATGGGTTAGATGAAATATATTATTAAAATCAATCTCACATTTTTTTTACTTCTTTTGATGTGGCCACTAGAAAAGTTTTAATTCCATCTGTGGCTCACATAATATTTCTATTGTACAGTGCTAAAAAAAACAGACAAACTGACTTTGTGGAACTAGCATCCTAGTATTACGCCTGTGGCTCCTAATTGGCTGTGAGTTACTAGAGGTCAGGGCCCATGATTATCATGACCACTGCTCCCTAATCTGTGCCAGGTACCTCATAGTGTCCAGTTAACATGGTGGGAAATTAAATGAACAAAGGCAAACTGGAAATGTCCATCTCTTATCAAGCTCTAAAGTCTACCTCCCAGGAGCACATGAGAGGCCATTTCCATTCCTTATCTGCATCTCTGGCCTGGCAGTCTCCCAGGGTTGATTTTGTCTCCTCTCACATAGCTCTAGCTCCTGCGGCTGGCCCTCTCAGAACACCACCCAGGGCCCCCAACAGCCTCTGCCAGGGAAGACCTTGGTGGAAGGCCCTTCCCAATGCCCCACCCCATGTCCATTGCTACCTGGTACTTGAGTTTCCCATCCTTAAAGAGTCGCAGCTGATATTGACGGTCCAGATTATCCCCATAAATGTGGCCGAGGTCTACCTGAGGACAGAGAGACAGTCCATTCAGGTCATCATGAGGTCCTGCAAGTGCCAAGTTAGGCCCAGGGAAGCCCTGAGCCCCTCCTAGGTACTCACCCCATGGCCCAAGGCCTTGGTGAAGCCAGGACCCATCTTGCCAGAAGTTTTGAAGAACTGGTGGGTGAAGTGTTGTGCAAAAAAGGCAAACATGAGGTTGGCACCTTGGGGGTCAGGTATGAACTTCCTCCTGAGCAGGAAGTGACGGCTCAGGAGCTCGGCATCTGGCAGCTGCTTCTTCCCTGGTTGGGGAGGTGGGAAAGAGCAATAGCTGCCTCTTCTCTGCATCTTCCCCCAGGGCCTCTGGGCTCACCAGACCAAACTGTCTGGGCAGGAAGCCCAGAGAGGCCTCCAAGGACCACCTCCCTCCCATCAGATGGCCCCTTGTACTTTCTCTACCAAAAGACCCTAGAAGTAGATCTGGGTGAAGTGGCATAATACCTGGAATTTGCTTTTAAATACCCCATAAAAAGTAAGGTGAGAGAAGACAGATGAAAGAAGATTGGCAAATTGTGCACAAGTCTTGAAACTGGAAGATGGATACATAGATCATTTTACTTTCCTCTCAGCTTTTGTGTATGTTTCAATGTTGAAAAACTCAACCAAAAAGAAAAAAGAAAGAAAAAAAACAAAGAAACAAAAGAACTTGGACTCCCCAGCCCAGGAGCAGCAGGTAGCCTGTGTTTGAAACTGGCTATGACATTCACAAACCATGTGAACACCGATAAGTACTTTCATCCCTCTGAGCTTCAACTTCCTCTTCTCTAAAGTAGGACAAATGAAACCTATTTTATGCAGTGGTTTGGAGAAGTGCATGAAGTAATGTAAGCATGGCAGAGAATTGGTGAGGTGGGATCTTTTCAATCAAGGATCAGTGAATGTTTTCTGTAAAGGTCCAGATAGCCAAGTCCAGAGGCTTTGCCAACATACAGTCTGTCACATCTGCTCAGCTTTGCTATTGCAGCAGGAAACCAGCCATAGACTGTACTTCATGAGTGTGACTGTGTTCCAGTAAAGTTTTATTTACAAAACAGGGGTTGGGCTGGGTTTGGCCTGCAGACTGGAGTTTGCCAACCTATTTTAAATGATGCCAGTCTTTCTGCGTCTGGGGTAAAGTCACCTTGAAGCAGGTGTCTGTCACTATGAGAATAAGTATTAAGTGTCCTTCCTTAATTCTGTCAATGTCAGATGACTCAGTACCCAATGCCCTTGCAGAAAGGAATAATTGAATTTTTGTGTTCTGGTAAAGGCATCCTTTCAGACACCCCATGTGCAGCCCAGTGGTGAAGGTTCAAGACTAGCTCTTTGAATTGAAATGGCTGACTGGTTTCCTCTAGCAGGAAAGGACATCAAGCACCCCAAAGCGAACTCCCCGAAAGGGAACTTGGACAGGTCTAAGCAAAGTGTTAGCAGAGTCCAGAAGCTCTGCAAGACCCAGCTATTCTGGAAGAATGGTTGTGCTTTGGGAATAGTAGCTACACATGAGCATGGTGTAGTAGCAAACCATCAGCATGGTGCCCATGAGACCCAAGTAAGGACATCTATATGTTTGCATGTTTGAACCTGGGAAGGACATAACTCTGGGGCTGCACAGGACCAGGGCTTAACAGCGACACCAAGTGGTGGGAAATGAAGTGATGGCAGAGGCGGGCTGATGCCTCTCCTGTCCTCTCTGTACTTGAAGCTGAAATATGGCTCTGAGCTGGGTAAACGCTCAGGTTTTTGGACAGTCAGGACTGGGGTGGGAAGAAGGCCTTAGGAGAAAGACCCCTGCCAATGATACCGAGTGGAGTTTGGATAACTAAAGAAACAAACCTGACTTTATATGTAAACTGCATTGATGAAGCATGTAAAGCTATTTGCATCAGTGAAGAACCAATAAAAGCATACTACTACTTCCCTCCTACATTTCAACTTTTAAGGCACTCGCATCGCAGCAGGATCCCACCCATTCAGTAGACAAGGTTCAGGGAAAGAGGCAACCTGGAGTCATGGAAACACTAGTCTGACTCTGTCACTGACTTTCCAGGTGACCTCAGGCAAAACCCTCCACCACCCTTTCCTGTCCTCATTTTCCAGACCGGTCCTCTACCCTGGTTCTGAATATGTCATATATCTTGCCTTGGTCCACCTATCTGTGAAATGGGTCAGTAATTGCTCTTATGCCTAGCTTTTCCCCAGAGAGTAGAACTGGGCATCTCCTGTGATCCCTAGCCCCCTAACCCCCCTCCATTACCTTTGGTCCCCATGGGTGTGGGGCAGTCTTGCGGCACAGAGGGCAGAACACGAGTGTAGTAGCTCAGGTTGGAGAAGGACTCCCAGCTGATGTAATCGTGTGCTAAGTTGTAGGTGGGGGGGCTGGGGATAAGGTTGGAACGCGCTGTAAACGGCAAAGATAATGGTGACAAGGGAGTTCCCTCCCCCCAGTTAGACCCCCCTTCCCCACTTTCTCTCAGTTGGACTTGTTTTATCTGGCATCATAGAGTCTCCCCACCCACTGCCCTTATCAGATGCCAAGAATTTCAAGAACTGGCAGGATTTCTTGCTCCTCCAGATTAGGGGGACCTTGTCCCCCACCCACCTGTGAGTACCAGGCGCATGAGCATGTCACGGATGAAGGTGGCATTGATAAGCTCCCAGAACCAGCGCCCGTGCGTCAGCAGGAAGTGGATGAAAGAGGGGCTGGGCCGCAGTGAATTCCGGAGCCAGGTCCACAGCTCAGCTGCGGGGGCAGTGGGAGCCACTCAGTTGGGCCCTCCTGGCAGAGGAGGGAGATGGGAACCAAGGGCCAGGATGCAACAGGGGAGGACATCTGGGGTGGGGATAAGGATGGGTTCTTGGGAGTGATGACATGTCACAGAGCCAGAAGCAGGTGTGAGGACCGGACGGGGCCAGGGAGTGAGGGGCGGCTGGGCGGTGAAGACTCGCCACAGAGCCCAGAACCAGGGAGCGAGGACTGAGTCAGGGAGGGTCAGAGATTAAAGCCAGGTGAGGAAGGAGAGCCAGCCATGGCCAGAGATGAGGGCAGGAGGTGGGGGTCTCAGAGGAGGAGCCCAGGGAAGTGGGAGGGGCCCAAGCTCACGGTCGGTGCAGTTGGGGCCCGAGTAGCCGGTGCGGGTGCAGTCACACTGGTAGCGGTCGAGGCCAAAGCGGACACACATGCCCTGGTGCTGGCATGGGTAGTAACAACAGGGGTTCACTGTCGGTGAGAAACAGAGATCAGAGATCACCCTCGGGTGACCCTTCGTGGGAGCCAGAGGCCTGGACTCAAGTGGCAATTCTGTCCTAACTCAGTGTACTTCAGTGTTCCCACAGCCATGAGCAAAAAGCCCCCAGGCCTACTGTTTCTAGGCCCTGCTCTGGATCTCCAATGTGGCCCCATCAGGGTCCCCAAGGGAAGTCCCCCTCCCTCCCTGCTGCCACCAACGGGGGGAAAAGGGAGGGGGCAGGGGAAGAGTCCAGGCCCCAAGCTGTAGCATCAAAGGCTAGGAAACAGCTGATAAGACCCTGAAGCCACAGGCTTCTAGAGTGTTCACTTCCTGCCAAGTCAGCGCCCAGCACCGAGGGCAGGGTTTGAGGCATTGAGAAAAGGGGCCAGGATGGGGGGCTCTCTCAAACCAGCCCCCAACCTCTGGGCACCTGGACACCAGGAAGATGAGATCGCCCACCAGTCCAGCTCTCTATTGTTGCAAAAGGGAAGGAAAAGCAGGTATCATAATGCCACTTGCAGATAGGGAAACTGAGGCCAGTTAAGGGGAACCCAGGAGAGTCACCCACACCAACTGCCCACCCCTTCACATCCAGCCCACCCTACAGACTCAGCAGTCAAGTCCAAGGAAAGGAGTTTCCCAGAACCCTGCGGAGAGTATGGGTTTGAGTGGAGCCTCAGCTGTCTCAGCTCCCATCCCTGACAGGATGCAGAGAGGGGAGGTGGGTCTGTGCTCTAGGATCTTGAGGTAGGTCAGGGACCAAGGGAACAGGAGACATGTGGCTGTAAAAGCCTACTGAGAGGGTGAGTAGAGCTCTGGCATCAGCCCCCTGTCTCCTGGAGAAACCCCCACCAGGAAGTCCCTCCTTGAGTCTAACCCAAGTTTCACCAGGCACAGCCCCCTGGCTCAATCTCCATTGCTTCAGCGATTCTTCAAGAGCAAACTCAGTGCTCTTTCAGTGCTCAGCAAAGGAAACCAAGGCTCAGAGAGAGTTAGAGCCTTGGCCAAGGACCCAGAGTGGAGCAGGGCCCTCCTCCAGACCCAGGCTCCTGGCTCCTGGCTCCTGGCTCCTGGCTCCTGGCTCCTGGCTCCTGGCTCCTGGCAGGGGCTGCTTCCCTGACTCCCACAGAAAATGCCAGGCTCCCCTCTGCAAACATACTTCCTTATCTGGGCCCAGATCCAAAGTTATGGGGAACTTCTGTTCTTTGTGAAACTGATTATAGGGTATCAAGAGGCAAGAGGAGCCTGGGAAGTCATCTCAGGGTGCTGTGATCAGAGGGCATGACCCTGGGCAAGGTGTGGCCCCTCCTCACTTCACAGCATGAGGCCTGGGCAACAGGGTCGTCCTGGTCCCCACCTGTGAGAGGGCCCCCAGCACCACCACCAACTCCACCCCCCCC